TTTAAGAAATTCAAATGATATACACAGAACAATGTTAAACTTTCACTGTTTTTCATCTTTTAATTATCACCATAAAATACATGCCCAGCTACATCATTATAAATAGCTTTATGTTCTTTAGTTGCTGGCATGTAGGGGCGAATTAACAGATGTCCGAAAAGGGGAGGGGCCAGGGCCGAAAAAGATAACACCATCTTGGAGAAATTTTTGTTTTCTAGACGCCCGAAAATAACCTCTGATACGTTTGAAAATTGCGTTAAAATCATATTATTAAGATTAAGATCTAAATTTGATTTAAATGTATTAAATATTAAGGTACATTGTAGTCGATCTATAGCATTTACCAACTGTCTCGCATTTCAAAGTGATTTGGGATGAAACACACATTTTGCAGAAACACATGCGTGATCCATAATTTGTCACGCATTTAGCACAAATCTATGCGTGATAACGAATTATCACGAATTCAGGGAAAATGTATTTAAAATTAAAAGAAATTGGTTTTATTTAAAAATATAGGCCCTTATATAAATAATCATGCAGAAAAAATTCAACTGAATAGAAGCCAATTTATCAAAGAAAGTTTTACCCATAAGCATTAAATAGAATATTTTGTAAATAGCATTTAGTTTTCCATATTTGTTGTGTTTGGTAATTGTTTGTACACATGTCCCTCATCAAAATACAGTCTTTTAACGCCAACATAAAGTCAATGGCTGCCGAATGTCTGAAATTGAGACGGCTACAAGTATCAGTACCAGTAAATGAGTCATTAGAGAGTACTTAATATTTATGTGAATATTTATTTAACTGACGCGTTAATAAAATTTTATTAGTGAAATGTTTAGGTCAACATAGTTCGGGTGCTCAATTACATTGAAACTAAAAATATTTTTGCTTATGTCACCGTTATTGTCAAGACACACTCCCTGAAAAACAGCTTCAATGCTCAGATCGTCGGAGAGCCTGGGGCCACGCCCCCTCGACCCCAGCTGGGCTCCGAATTTATATTCAAAAGATATTCCAAGAGATAGAACCTCCACTAGGATGGAACATATGCAAACACACACAATATATGGTACACACTTGCATTGAACTGTCTTCATAAAGCATAAACGAGGATAAACTTCATATAAAATAATAATATTTCATCCGAACAATTTAAATTATTAAATGTAACTGTTCTCTTTTAAATAAACTCTCGGCGTCCAATCGGCTAAAGGGGTCCGGGTAACAGGCCAAGATTAAGCGTTTAGTACAAGTACAAACAAAGGTACATGATTAGAATCAAATATAGAATTTAAGCTAACAAAAACAACATATCCAAAACTAGTCTACGTTATATTAGGCCTATATTGAAAAAAAATGTAAACTTTTTAAAAATTCGGCCAAATTCGGCCAAATATATTTTGGCCGTGACTTTTCAAACGTTACTGCCAGGCAAATTTTTATACGGCCAGATTTGAGGAATCTGGCCGTCAAAAAGGCCAAATGGCAACCCTGAGTGACGTGTATTCATTTAAACAAAAGCATTTTAGGATCCCAGGTGTCATATGCAGATTCGGACGTTTGTATTTATTGCCTTGCAATATTCAACATGCATGATCTATTGTCTTTCGCTGTACATTTTTAATGGTTACCGGTACTTCTTTTGAAGGAATTTCGCATTAGCGTTTGAGGGTTCATCTTTATCAAAGGGTTGTCCTGAATGTTTGTTACCGGTATGTGTTGTTCGTGAAAGGGTTTCCCTCAGACAATAGAGTTGCTTTTTTAATGGTTGCCAGAAAATTTGTGATTTTTATATATTCTTTATACAGTAAATTATGAAATAGGCCTACTTCCAAGGCTGATTATCTTTTTATAAGCATCATTCCAATGACAAGGGGTTATAATGTGAAACCTTATGTGTATAGCGCTAGATAAATACCGACATATTATTATCATACATCTGCATTCTGGTAGATTAATCCCGATTTATGTTTACATGGATGGTAGGAGGTAAGAGTAAATGTCGAACTTTGGAAGGATTGAAGATTAATATCTTTATCTTTATTAGAGCAAATAGATTATGTACTTTAGAAAGAGAGAGAGGTGTATGTACTGCATAGAGTTCTAGTAGCACTAGAGTTCGGTATGGTTTTAATCTGCAATAGTCTTAAGGCAAGACCATTTAGTACTAGTAATTTAGTGTGGAAAAAGACTTGCCGCCTTCTGAAATCTACTACACCGCTAGAATTCTGAAGCAAAAACACTAGGCCCTATAGGTAGTCATACGCCATGGACTTTATCAGTCACTACAACTTTCTGCGGCATTAATAAAATGTGTACTAGGCCAGATAGTTATGCCATAGTGTATAAGTTACGAAAGTACTGTAATTGTTTTTATTTTTCAGATTGTTAAAATGTCAGGCAAACAAGTACGCATATTGCTTTGGTGTGTTCCACGCTCTGTCTCCACTGCCTTTGTAATGAGTATGGGAAACTTAGATGACGTAAAAATAATCAATGAGCCATATATAAGTGCATTCCGTGTAGGCCCTGATATTCAAGATAGGAGTGAGGCTTACAAAGAAATGACAGAGAACATGCAAAAAATAACCGCCGGTGTAGAAGTAAACTGCAAAAATGCTTTGGAATCCGGAGACTGTTCTTATGAATATATTAAAGAGAACATACTAGAAGCAGAATATCCCGGTAAGAAGGTGGTCATTGCAAAAGACATGTCGTACGCTATTAGTGAGCAGTTGCATATGCTTCCAAAAGGTTATCGACATGCGTTTCTGATTCGTAACCCAGCAAAGGTATTCCCATCTTATAAGAAACTCCTTGATAGATTTACACAGGCAGGGAAAGAAGCGTTTCTGGAGGTTGGGAAGAACAAGCTCGTTCCGGAATACTATGCATTTGGAGAGAGTTGGAAGCTGTATGAGTATTTGACGAAAACCGGCATCGAACCGAAACCATTCGTTATGGATGCTGACGATCTGTTGGAGAATCCCGAATACATATTACGACAGTTCTGTAGTTACGCTGGGATCAAATACACTGACAAACTGTTAGCATGGGATGGTGGTGATGACGTCACTAAGCACTGGACAACATCAAAAGCAATGCTACAAAGGAATAAAGTTACAAACTACCATAAGAAAGCTTTTGAGAGTAAAGGATTTGGAAAACCTTCCTTGACAACCCCAACAAGATCCGAAATGTCGGAAGATGTAGTTCACTGTATTGATGAGAGTCATCCGTTTTACGAAAAATTATACGAATTGCGAACTAAAGTCAACAGGTCAACAGAAACAAAGATAAAATAGGCTACAGATTGGCAATGATTATGAATGAAAACGAATTTCTTTTAGGAATCTTTTATTAAACATTACAGAAAATAAGCATGGCGTGTGAGCAATTGATTATTTAGCTGAACCATTTTTTTTCCATAAAATACCGGTACTGTACTATAATAAGGAACTTTCGTTTAATGAACTATGTTTTAATACGATTTTATAACATCGTGTTCCTGTATATTTGAGCACTGTATTATTATCTATTTCTGTCGCTACTGTACATGCGCAATAGCACTATAGCATCACGTGTTTATATTAGTTTATCTGATAACAGAAATAAAACTAAGTATATGTTGATCCCCACAACAGTACCGATGCTGCATAAAACGGATTGCGTTATAAAGAATCTCCAATGCATTTTTTCTGGTACTCGGCACATAACCATAGTACCAGCCTCCTGCAGATATTATAATAACCAGGGAGTTGTTAACTCACTAACAGCAAACAGTACTGAAAGTCGCTGTCATCCTCGAGAAATTACAGTTAACTGCACTTTAATTAGCTATGTCCTAAATAAAAGCTAGTTATATTGTTAAATTTGAGAGTTGAGGGGGAGGGGTCTTTCAGAGTCGGGAAGGGGTGTCAGGAGGAAATTTCCTCTCGTCGGCAAGCATGAAACCCCCCCCCCCTTTTTTTTGGCCCTGAGTCTTCCACGCCACGGCGAAGTCATCGGGCATATAATATTGCCGATCCAAACAAGGCTGTCGTGATTGCTAAGCCAATCAATTTTGGGCAGTCCAAAACCATCCCATGAACTCCACCACCCTTTTATTGACCCTCTTTAATAATGAATTGCCCGCTTTTTTGAACATTCAATACCGATACATTATGCAGAAGACACAACACTCTATTCTTCTGACCCCTAACTCGACAACGTAAATGGCACACTTGGCCAAAGATCTAATATCCCTTCATATGTTTCATCACAATAAAATACAAAAAAAAAAAAATACATAAATACAAAAAAAAAAATAGAAAAAAAATCATAGATTTATCTATGTATAAAATACTTAGATAAATCTATGCCAATATTCATCTGGACAATACAAAAACTAAAACAAGTACCTTTTATTCAACTTTCCACAACAATTATCCTACCAGTCAAACTACCGTATCATTAATAATTTCTTTGGATTTGGATAGTGACTATTTGGATTTTGCATACAAATGTCACGCTTATTAGCTTATGTGTTATAATTATAGTATTACTGTATATGTATAACGTGTGCTGAGGCATACAGTATTTACATATTTTCTGAAGTATTCATTTTTAGTGACACAAGGAATTAAGATTTTATTGGCTAGCAAGAACACTACACTCACCAATGACAGCTTTCAGCGACGCTGACTGGTTGTCGAATAAAGGAGCCTTCCCGATTGCGTCAGGGACATGTTACGCTAAATGCTTATGCTAAAGCTGGGAAAAGCCAACATGGTAGTGACAGTTTAGCGATTTTATGGAAACCAATCTTTATGTTCTATCTTCTTGTCAAATAACATACACAGATTCTGAGACTTAACAATTTGGAACTCAGAACTCATATTGTTTTATTTGACCAAAATTATAATAAACAAATATTTTTGACATAGGCTTAAATATAAATTAAATTATAACAATTTAATGGTCGAGGACTCTCCGCTATCACGAGAGCCACCGCAGAGGTAAATACATTTATTGATTATTCATAGTACAATTTCATATGTTTAAGTATAAGTAGAAAAGTTACCCTGTTAATACCATAGCCCTATCTCTAAAATATTATGGCTGATACTAGCCATGTATGTAGTTAATAATAATAATAATAATATTTATTTGGCAATCGTCAAGAACAATTTTAGCTTGAAATGTGAGGCACAACTTGGTCTTATAAATAATAAAAGAACTGTACACAAACATTACGATAATTACACAACCAATCAAGTTTTTGTAGCTAAACAAACACTATAAACTATAAAATTTATCGAAAATATAAAATATAGGTGTTACTTACAATACCGTAAATCCTAGAATATGCGCCCCGCGGCGTTTATACAATTTGTGGAGGCTTCAGTGCGGCGGTTATACCATGATTATCTATTCGTCTATATTTAAGAGGAGTTATTTTTAATTTAAGTACAGAAGTACTATCATTAATATGGACCCAACTGATTTTATTATTTCATTTATTTATTTGTAAAAGTGGTTTGGTGCAGAGGGAAATATTTTATAGCCTCGAGGTCGGGTTTTAATCTCGCAAAATGATTGATTGATTATAATAATAAAGGCACTTTATGCATTGTGTCTCTCCACCCAGGAATATAAATTGGACCTGACGGGGTTCCTTGCTCCTGCACAGATTACAACAGCAACACTTATGTGGACCCAGTGAGATGAGACAGAAACGTATCTGTAAAGAAAGAGACTATATAAATAAACAAATAAATAAAATAAATTTGTTTCAATAAAAAAGAGCATACATTATAACATTCAAATATTATAGGCAATTTGTAAGAACATTTTAATATTCTGATTTGATTTGATTATGATTGTTATTGCTGTCATGATTGTTATTGCTATTGTTAATGTTATTATTAATTAGACTTACTGCAATGTGAATATATACATATATACATATATATACATGTATGTATATATATATATATGTATGTATGCATGTGTGTGTATGTGTGTTGTGGAGTGTGTTGAGGTATGTGTGTCAGTGACGACATATTGCCTAGCAGTTAACATGTAATTCGATATTACGCAAGCGTTATATCAATATGAAAAAGTGAGTAAAATTATAGGACTGATTTCTGTTTACCTTTAAGAAATACAACGCATAGAAGTTAGTCATAGGCGTCTGGTACGCTCCGCACTTGATTGACGCTAAGGTTTTTTTTCTCTCTTTTGTTTCACCCACTTTTACTTCATTTCTCTTTTTATTTTCTTAACATTGTCTAAACATCAAATAATGACAGACATAACTGACATCAAGCAAACTAAAACACAGTAATCGAGTTTAACATTATTTTCATTATGATTATTATTCAATAGATTTGGGTTTTTTTTCGATAAAACTTAATGATATCTATCTTGTATTTCTAGTACCTTTGCTACTAGGAAATTTAGGCTGCCCCTGTAAAATGTACCAGCAGTTGGACAGTTAAAACAAGTTTTGTTCCACCTCCTATAGAAGTGTGTAGCTTACCTTGTGCTGCAGCAACTGCAGGTGCGATATTGACAATCTTCACTGTTCCAATATTACAATGACTGAATTGACCACCTGTGAATGAAGCTAAAACCCAAGAAGACTATAATACTCTTTTAAACTTTGATTACATGGAATATAAACATTACAAGATTTACAAATATAAATCCTGAAGAATACATATATTAAAACGTTCGCTCCCAGTAACGACAGTGCCTGATTAAGCATCGTCTGGCCTCAAGGCACATTTTGGAAATGGTCCAAAAATGTTAATTGAATGGACCCTATGGTAATAATACTCTGCTACAACTCTAACAGTAGAATGTCTCCGAGTTTTCTGGCCTAATAATACCGGAAAATAGAGTGTAAATAATATTGCAGTCCAACTTTTGGTGGCCCATCATTTTCGCCTGGCCCACAAGGCTTGTGCCTTATTTGCCTAATGGTTAATCCGACACTGAGTAACGAGTATACTCGTCCCTCAGGTGTTGCTGAAGGTGCTGGGACGAATATACTCGTCAAAACCAGGGTAACGTTCTAGTGTTTACCGGCACTGTTCTCTATCAACTGCCAGCCCATATACTTCCTTGCTATACATGTTTGTACATGCATACTTGTTTTGGCACACAGGAAAAAACCTTAAAAATGTCTGGTAGTCAACGTGCTAAAACTAATTTATTTTAGCAGACTATTCCTATTGCACGTAGGCCTATGTATTCATAGTGGCTTTGTGGCTATTATAACCACAATTTAAACAAAAAATGAAGATACATTTACAAATCGTGAAATTAAGTTAATAATCAATAATATTCATAGTATGGGATTAAGTAAATTTAAAAAACATAATTTTTTTAAAATATTAAATAATTGTATTGTAAAAAGTAATAGTTTCATTAATAATTACATTACCTTGGCTTTGAAAAACCTTTTTATCTTTCATGCGGTCATTATCTGAAAGAAATGTCACATGCGTACATTACATACTGTCAAGCTTTATCCCCATAATGATCATGATGTGCCTATATGTGGTCATGATATGATGTCTTCACGACCATATTTAGGCATGTCGCATTTTTTTTGTTAAAACTCTCTCCACTATAAGTTGTATGTGATAAAGACTTGTAGTTTGCCTATATATGGGTGTGACTTATGTCCATGAATGAGCAAAGCACAGTCTGCCACCACGTACAACCCTCTTTGGTACAACTTATTAAGCCAAGCTCTCACTACGAACGACGGTTGTCGGCCGAAGCGATTCTATAAAGAACGCAACGTGACGACGCGCACGCAACGGATCGTTTTTAATGACGATCAGTTCAGTTTGCCACCGAAAATCGTTCTTTATAGGATCACGTCGGGCGCAGTGAGTACAGGCTTCACTAAATATTGACATACAATATGTCATGATGTGATGTCATCATATTTAGGCATGTCATGTTTTTGTCAAAATGTGACTATTTACATAAGAATTCAATATAAAAATTAATTATGTTTTCATTTAAATCCAAGCCAATTTGACAGCAGTTGGCTGTGAACAAAATCAAATCTAATCATATTGATATCGTAATAATTGACTTTTAATGAAAGAAAAATATATACTTTAGAAGAATGATGAGATCTTAAAATTTGGATAATCCAATATTTTTTAAGGGGTCTTATCTCTGAATTTTCTTTAAAATGAACTTGCTTCTTCCAATAACTACATTACCATCCTCTCTAGATTCAATATTATTTCTTTTTAATCTAGGCAGAAGTTCTTCATCATTCGTTTTCTTTCAAAAATTGACCAGAACCCAGATCACCCATACACGCTTGTCTTCCTCGTTTATGCTCTTCTTCATTGCGTCATTCTCGCCGTTCTTCCTTTCTTCGTTACCTGCTCACCCAAGTTTACTTAATTTTACTAGCTTAAGAAGATGGCCTTTGATGGTTCTTGTAGTATTAAATAATTGAATCTTGAATCTTGAATCAAATTTAGTAGACCTAATCAGCTGGGTAGTTACCTTGGTCAGCTTCTCTTGTGGCTAAATCTAAATTTGCAGGCCTATCACTAGACGCAACTGGTTCTTCTTGTTGTTCTGATAAAAATGAATGCACCTTTATTACATCAATCATAAATTGAAAGGCAAAAAAATATCTTGCATAGTATTGAATGTTAAATACTTTTTCAATACTAAATTTAAAAAAACAAATTGTTAATATACTTTTGACAATGCAAACCTTAAAGACTTAATTGTTATTTTGAATGTTCAATTTTTACCATTTATAAATTTAGCATTACATTTTAAAAAATGGTTTATGTTATTGTTTTTCAGACAGAAACAGTAGCAGTTAACATATTTCAGTTAATTGAATGATTTTATATTATACCTTGCACAAATAATCCCTGAAATCCTGCTGTGTCCATCCGTCGTCCTTTACAGGCCACTTTAGATTTCTGAGTACACTCATCAAAGGCATGTAGATGTGGAGGTTCATCCTGACATTGGTCACATGGTATGCCAAATGTGAATTTAACACCCTTACTCCAAATGTTACAGAGATCAGTCAAGGCAGAAAACAAGAATTTGTATACCTACACAATAACAATTGGAAATTGAAAACAATAAGAATAATAACAATTCTCCATTGATTTGGCGCATTTTATGTGTGTATGCGCTTTACATTACTACCCCGAAAATTTGATCAAACGCCTAATAATAGAAACACATCCTGAGCACTATTAAGTACGCAGATAGAGTCAGCGTTTACAATTATCCTACAAACTTGAATTGAATTGAAATTTATTAGGTACTCAAACACACAAACATACAGAAATGGTTGCACAAAGCAAAACGATTTAAACAGTAAAAACCTAAAAGCAAACAGTGAATGGAGAACCAGGATGGTACATAAAGTTAGCAAATGCTGGCTCATTTTAATGGGATCCCAGACAAAAGTAAACAGCATTGACAAACATCGAACAAGTACAAATGGAGGATAACAATAATTTTTAGAAAGGTCAAAAAACATTCAAAGTTACAATTTGTAAGATAACAAATTTAAAAAGTTAAATAATTTAAAAAGTAAAACAATTTACAGGTAATAAAATATAGCAATAAAAATTTGAACATTCTGAAATTAATTTTAATTCAAAGAACCCACTTGTAAAATTGCTGGAGACAGGCAATGCAGATTGCCCAAGGACAGCGCGGGATTTGAAACTCTGCTCTCAAATTCCAAACTGCAAATGCTGTACAAATGTAACCATATATCTGAAAGCCCAGCAGTTTTGGTATTGGTAATTGACGTTGATCCAATACTTAGCATTATTGTGACTACCAGTAGACAGTATGATGGGAATTTTAGAATAAGATAAGTACTTACCATCTGGCAAACTGTTGGGCTTGGATTGGTGTCATCTCCTGAAACACGTACAATTATCACCTGTAAAAAGAAAACATAAGCTTAAAAAATCCTATTAATGCCAATGATATATGTCAGGTAATATTCGCTGACACAAAAAAGTGGTTTAAGGGGGTAAAAATCTTACCTCCATAAATGACCGATTTTTTGAGTAGATTCTGAGTATCAGATTGTGATCCTGGTCAACATAAAACTCAGCACTGTGTCGTGAAAGACGTTGATCATTGCTGCCATGCTCCTGAGAAAAGCGAATTGTGCGCACCATTAATCTGAAGAACAGACCACCTGGTAAAAAAACCATTAAAGTCTACAAAGAAACGCACGGTGCGATTGTCATCTTCTACCACTGCTGGAGCTTCAATCGTTTCACTCAAACAGCACGGCAAACAGAACACTCGAGATTTTTCAGCTAACCTACGTACTGCCTCCTGTTGATGATAGGAGAGTTACTTTCCTTATTATACAAAAGTAAAATAATCATAATAATTCTGAATAGAATCTATCAGAATAACCACTTTTGATTACCTCAGCTGAAAATTGTATTTCACACAGGAGGTCAAATCTGGTCATCAGGTTGAACAGCAAGTTCGGATCAATATGGTAATTTCTCCAGACATGTCTTGCAAGTTTTTCATCAAGAAGACCAGATTCAAGTCTGCTCCATGAGTCACTAAATTGAGCAAACTGAACAAAGAAATGAGAAGGTTTACGGATTCTTTAGAACGTCAGTAGTTCGGATAAGCCTTACATGCATCCACCTTGATTCAAGACAAACACTTCTCTCATGCCCAACTAGGCTATGCCTACTGTATATTTCTGTACTTTCACTTACAAGAGGGTAGCCCAAAGCAACAGGCGAAAATCCAGTAGGGGAGAGGGACGTCACTGGAAAGGGCTCCCACTCCGTATTGCCACATTTTTTATTAAATTTCAATGCAATATATGTGCTATTCACTTATTCAAACTACAAAGACGTCCTTCAGAAAAATAATGACATGGTAACCATAACCTCCTCAACTTTCCCATTCAACAATGTACATGATCGCCATTTCCCAACTCATTCAACACCGTGCGGAGCACGGGTATATGCTAGTATAAATAAAATACATTATTATCATTATTTAAATTACTAATGTCTTCTTACCTGTTCCTTTGCCGGTCTAATAGTGATGACTCCAATGAACATGTCGTTCAGCCACCTTTGGTTTAGAATGACATAGTGGTTCAATGGATCATCAACATTCATCTTGTTCTCAAAGTAAACACAGTTTCCAGTATTATGTTGGAATTGGAGAAATGTGCTGAGCTCCTCTGAGTCATTCACTCCGCATTTGGCAGCTACACTTCGTACCTATTCAATCAATACATACAATACTGTCCAATTAAAATTTGGAATTTGTTTAAGACTGGTGTAATAATAGTCACTGCCTAACATTATTATATAGTAGAGTTATTTCTATATATTTTGTTTAAATTAAGAATGAATGACTCTTACGTCTGCCATTTCTAACATATACATATCCTTCTGTTTCTCCTCTAGTGTGAGTTCCAAATCTAACCATGAGACTGGTATGAGATTGCTCATGTAAGGTTCCTCTCTAACAACCTCCAGGATATGCTGTTGCAGCTTCAGTATTTCAACATCATTCCTCAAACTACTATCAACTGCATAGTATCTAGTCACAACATGTTTCGAGCAGGGATGTTGTTTTATAGATGTACGTATAGTTTCAAAGATTTGTTCAGCCTATGGAGATAATCCAAAATAGAAAGGTATAGTTTAATAGCAAACGTAAATAATGCCTAAACCATCCGAAAAGCTTTGACATTCTTTGCAATAAGTAAAATTTCTCAATTTCTTACCTTTGCTTTTCTTTGTGATTTGTTTCCTGGTAAGTTGTTTTCATGCGTCCCTGTTATGAAAACTGGAGGAGATAGCTGTCTGGCTTCTGCACCATCAGTGCGCTTATTCTCCACAGTGTGTGCATAGATTGAGGAAAGCCAGAATATAATGAAGTCCAGATTTGTGATTTCATACACGTTGACATTTTTCTTACGTCCAAGAAAATTAGCGACTTTCCTAACCATCGCACTAAACAAATTCTATTAAAAAAAACCACAAACAAATGACTCCCTTTTAAAGAATAGGGAAGGTCGTTTCCCAAATATCATTTATCCTTAAAATCATAATTATTTAAAAAATATTAAGAAGGGAAAAAAATAATAGAAGATAAAATAGTAGAAGAAAAGTTGCAAATGAAACAAAACGATGGTACTTGCAACTCCAAAAACAGACATTTTGAGATTTAACGTTTCAATCTATTTGATCATTTTCAAGAAGCTTTCAACTGATTTGAATGACATGATTCATAATTTCTTATAGTCTTACTTACCTTAGGGTGACTATATCTTCCAGCAACAGCCTTGTCATTCAGATCAAGTGAGAGGTCAAATACAAGCAAAAACACGGCTTGAGACATGAGGAACAGCTATAAAATTCACATTTATGAAATCAATGCATGTAGTTGTTTATGAACGGTCCACCCCACCCCCAACACTCAAGCTATGCCTTATCACTGTGGTAGTATGCAAATACCACATAAACGTCCAGGTTTTTTTTAATAATTATTTTTAAAATGGTTAAAATCCTTTACAATGCATTTTTGCACACAAATAAACAAAGGCTATTTTGGAACCTATGTAGAAATGACGTGGACACTGAAATTTATTATTCTGTTGCCTATTACTTCCCACAAGTCTGTAAAATGAATGGTTATCACGTCGATCTTCTATTTCCTTGTGTTGTGGTTCTTTTAACTTACAGTAGTATAAGCAAATCAGGAGGCTCGAATCAGGAGGCACGAAAATTAATACGTGATAGTTCATGGCTAAATAGCCAACATTTTGCAGTAGAATATAAGACGATACTCGTATCTTCATACTATGGACATTTAAGATATTAAAGACAGAAAAGGATTACCTGATGGGTTGCATAAAATATTTCTTGCCCTGCAAAGTCATAAATCTTTAAACTTAAACCTTCTGTTATTGTGCTTCCTATTTCAAACGGGAAAAACATTAACTTAATATCTAGTCTGAGCTAGATGACATTTGAAAATACTAACAAAACAATATAACCAGATCTAATAAGTGTCATACATTTTTTTTTACTTTTTAATTTACTGGTATTCTTTTCATTTTACTATTCATTTGATTTATTTTTATATTTTTTAACTGACAGAATATAACAGAAGTAAACGAATGCCTGAACAGATATTTTGTGGGTTTCATATAACTTTTTACACGAAACGGATATCATAAAACATGTGGACAATGGACAATTACTGTTGTTCACGTCTGTGTGCATTGAAAATATGACGACATAATATTGCCAAACATCCGGATCGGGATTTTCTCGGATGGACGCACGGCAGCTAACGGTTAGCAGGATCCGGATCCTGCTAACCGTTAGCAGCCGTGTAAGAATATAGCCATGAGACTTGATAGTGTGGACAGAACTTACTGTTGGTTGTACCAGTCAGGTCAAGAGGCAATGATTGTTTCCACCATACTAGGGATCGATAGTAAACAGAACATTAATGGGAATTATAAGTATTAATGTTAATGCAAAGATAAAAGGATTGGAGTTAAATAGCTTAAGATACTTGCTTCCCAATCCCAGAATCCGGGGTTCAGTTTCTGTGATTGTTTTTCATGACTAAAGCCTAGTACTTACTGCGCCCGACGGTCGTCAGCTGACGCAATTCTATGGTAAACGCAACGCGATGATGCGCGTGCAACGGATCGTTTTTAATGACGAACAGCTCAGACCGTCTAACGCTCACTGAGAGCGGAGTTAAGTTTGTCTACGCTGGTCGTACGACGCAGTGAGTGCCAAACTTAAAATTCTTTGTTGTTTTAGGACCGCCCCCATTATTTCAGTTGTATATTATAGTTGTTTCTTATCACATTTGTACAGTCTCCTGATGAAGTCCACTGTGTGGACGAAAGCTAGAGAATAAATTATATATTGTTAGTCTCAAAAGTGCTGCTGTTTTTTATAGCCTTTACTATCAAATTTTATTTGACAAAAACATGTGACATGCCTAAATAATATGATCATGATGACATCAATGACCATTACATCCTGACCATGTATAAGCACACCATGACTATATATGGGCATACAACATTTTTCTGTCAAAAAAAATGATAGTGTGGGCATAGGCCTATATTTAGTTAGCCCTGTGAGAGAAGAGTAGATTTCTACTGAGCAGGCTACACAACATAATGAAGAAAAAAATATATTCAATTTTCAAAGATCAGACAAGCAAAACAAAAAAGCTATCAAAAGCTTGTCAATTGAAATATATCAATCAAGAAAAGTAGTGCTTGTTTTATTTACATCTCCTACCATTTGAACCTTAAGTTCAGCATTTGTTCAAATAGCCTGAAACCTTCGGAGGAAAGCGGTGTTGTGCAGCATTTTAGCTGTATTTGAATTCTAACGCAACCTGAAGTGTTACTGATAATATTTAGTGGACCAAGCATATCATATTTGTGTTACATTTCTAAGTGTGGTGCTGATTATTTCAAGCATTCTACAGAATCCATTTTTCCCAAAGCGTTGAAACATGTCATGACATAGTATAGCTGACGAGACCATTGATATAGAAACACATTAGGGTATTAACACCCAAGAACAAACCGATTTCTTTGGAAGTATCCAATTTCCATTGTCCATCAGTCTCATTAATATCACATAGCACTGTGGTTACTATTCCATCAGTTTCCTTCTCTTTGAAATTAAATCTGAAATATAAGATTCTTTGTGAATATAAAGTTTCGTAGAAAAATGTATAATTGATATTATATAATTGAGCGTAATTTTCTAACCTTTGTCCTGTTAATTTCTTAACCAGACTGGTCTTTCCAGCCCTGGCTTGTCCCACCACTGTTAAACTACATCTTTGATATTGCACACCACCTTGTTCTAAAGCCTTGAAGTATATTTTGACCGCATAATAGCCACTTACTAAAATTTGCCGAGGTACCTCTCCTACAGGAATTAGAACAGATAAAAGTAAACAAACATTTTTCAATGAATAGAGACATATAGGGCATTGCAATTGATATGCTGAAAAGTTGAAGACTTACAAAGTGTATCATATATCACAATTGTTTATATAAAATAAATACAGCAATCTATATTTATAATTTTATCTATATTACTTTTTTACCATATATTTTATTATTATTTATTCATTCTGCAAACAAAAAAGTTTTTATGCAAATATTAATTTAATTATATTAATACGACAATGTTCTAGCTAGAGGTCTCACCTTTTAATATATGCATTATCTGCTTCTTTTCTTCTATTCTGGAATTTTTGTCATACATCATGCAGTCATTAAACCAATAAAGATCAGCAGCATTTCTATTATCCTGTAAAAACAAACATCAAACAGAAAAGTTTGTTATAGCAACAAAACACATCTCCAATTAAAATCATTCATGAACTCAACTACAATGATAATCTACTAATACATTTTAAATTACAATTACTTGTAAAAAAAAATTCAACATCACAAATCCCTCTTAAAAGAAGTGCAGTGCTGCATTAATAAAACATACCGCATCTTTAAGGGAAATATCAGCACCATTGCATATGAGTTCAACCACTATGTGGAGCTGTTGTCTAAACGTGGCATCAGAACGGGCACAGACTTGAAGTGGAGTTCTTGAAACCTGCAAAATAAATTATGTTCGATACCAGTGGCTTAACCCAGGGGTGCTCACGGTGCCTGAGCTGAGCACCCCTCGCTTTTGTTCAAGCGGGAAAAAATAACAGTAAATTAATATAAATAAATGGCAAAGTAAGTTACTTTAGACGTTAACAATTTATGTATAGTCATAACAATCGATGCTCAGTGAATGCGATATTTCTATTCAGCATCCCCTTTTTAAAATTCTGAATACACGTACTACTGTATACAATTGTTTCACCTACACATTTTATTAAATTCCTTTCAAATATTAGTATAATTTAAAATAATGTAAAAATGGTAATTTCAATTTTTCAAAAGAGCTTTCAGTAAATAGCTTTATATCAGAATTTTTTTAGCTCCTTAATGATTATTATCGACCGTTCTACCACTAACAAATCGTTTATTGAATACGTTGTATAAACAACTATTATAATTAATTTACTAATATTATTAATAACTTGTAAACCTGTAAAGTCTCCATACCCATCCATCCTGTAAATTAACATGTAGTTTGGACTTCTTTAAAACGAGTTTGATACATTTATCAAGACTACGCCGCGCACACAAATGAAGGAGACTACGACCATCCTACAAGAAAAAAAATAAAATTTAAACAATATCACAATAAAGATCAGGTATGATACAGCATATCAGCATGCCCATGGGTATTGTATGACATCATCATGCCATTATAACACACATTCGGTCACCAGTGACGTAAGTCTCAAGGTTTCCTGTATGTCAATTTGCTTGCACCCCACTTCCACTGTTCTTGTTTAATTCTATACCTAGCTGTATTTTTGTGATATTTTTTATACCTGTATAAAAAATTGAATAAGGTAAAGATGTTGCGGCGTTTTTTTTTTATAGGAAATATTTCTTGATATATATATATTTCACAGTATCAGGTTGGTTGTTGGTTGTAGAACACAGCATATATTCCATCCTTCAATGTATTGAATCTTGCTGTAGGTAAATTTTGATTCGGATTTCAATACATTTTAGCAAATTTTAAACTAATTTAATGGATGCATTTGTTTAAACTATGTTACTTGTATTCTGTGGTGATGATGGTGGTACGAATACGAATACGCTTTATTTATCTTATAAATCTATCTATAAACAAAAGAAAAAAATCTTCAGTTTTGAAAAAAAAAACCGAATACTAAAACATTAAAATCCAAACATGATGATGAATCTGCTGTAAATTCTACTCACCTCATCCAAAATATTGAGTGTTTTTTCTGAGGCAGCCTCTAACATCTTCAAAAGCAGTTCTTCTGGTGCTTCTTTAACAGCGGAGCATAATGTTGATTTGCCATTCTATCCGAATAATAAACAGAGCTTATAGTAATGGTTTAAATGTAGGGTCTCCCCAGAACTAAGACTACTTTAGGTTATGTGGAAATGGTGTACCACAGACATATTAACACATTTTAATGAAACATTTTACAATATTGCTGATTATAACTGTACTGTAAGTACCTGCTTTCATGTTTTAGAGATTACTTTTAGAGAACACTTTTAATCAACAATAATGAAGAGACAGCACTCGAAGACTAACTTTAAAGACGTCAACACTTTTAATGAATGTCAAAAAAGATTTACTTACTGGACAATCGTTAACAAGCTGTGAATCTTTTGTCAAGATACTGTTGACCAGAGACCAATTTTGGTTCGATATTGCCCGAACCAATGTTGTCCTGAAGAGCAAAGATGATAAAGACTGCAGTAAAATGGTTTGAAGTAATTGATAGGAAGTGCTGCATGCTTGTACAAGGCCTAGAATTAGGAGCTGCATTTACACTTGCCTTCTTGTGCCAATAAAAATAAAATAGATTTAGCTTTTAAAATTATATGCTTTTATTTCCATCAATTACTTAGAGTAGACTTCTTATGCTTAAATAAACTGTCCTTGCTCCACTACCTAGTGGCAACTAAAAATGTTGGAGTGGTCTTGGGTTTTGTGGTTTGTGTTAAGAAGTTGAATAACTTGGTGGTTAAGCTTGGGTTTGGTGGTTTGTGTTAAGAGTGGAGTTGAATAGCTGGGTTTGATACGACGCTTGCTTTCTATCCAATCCCAAGGTCTTGGGTTCAATTCCTGTCTCGGTAACAGGGTTTTTTTTTCTCACGACCAAAAACAACTTTACTCAATAAACCTTATATGAGACTTAGTCTATAAAGCATCATGTGTTTATGTTTGTCATGTGGAGGGATTGCCACCTATCTATTAAGACAGTGATTAAGTAGCTATTTGTAATCCTTGGCTATGTGCCTAAAGGAATATAATAAAAAATAAATATAATAAAAGGTTAAAGATTGTAACTTGGTTCTTTGAAAAAATTGGTCTCGAATTAGACAGGTTTGAAATTAGAGGGTTCTGTATTTTCACATAAAATAATCGTTGTAAAAACGGATTCAATCAAGAGCGGCGCCAGCCTTTTCCAACAAGGTAATTTTACACTAGCCGGGGACCTAGAGAAACCCGTAGGGAATCTCTGGGCTCCCATCTGTACCCCTTTTGAATGGTCGTCGACAAAAAATTATAATACAGTGCACCATCCAACTCGAGACCCTCTAATTCTCAGATCCTTTACAGTAAAGTAACAACCGTTAGCTGTCCCTGGGCCTCCATCTGGAACCCCTGTTGGGGAATGGTTGTTGGCAAATCCATTAAATAAAAAAAAAAACAGTATACAGTGCACCCTCCAAATCGAGACTGATCCATTTCCAGGCGCGGATCGAGAGTTTACGCTGACTATCGCACAGATTGATTTCAAGGGTGGGCGGGGTCGTGATGAGAAAAAAACGTAACTTATGGTTGTTCTGTGGCTGGAATATAAATTTTAGACGTGAAGGGGCAGGGCGTCTGGTAATCCTCCTTTTGATTTTTCAAAAGTTTTATAGATCCTTGGAAATGCACTTTCCTGCATTCTTGCGTCTATATGTGAATGAATACACTCAGAATTTATAGTTTTTACCTACTACGGAAACTTAATAATTATGATAAAGAATATAATGATGAGGAGGAGCAGGCAGCGTAGCTAGGTGATGACAGGCGCCAGGATTAGTGACCAGGTCTTTTGATATGAAGTGTCAACCGAGGCTCGTAGTCTGAGTTACGATTAGTGATTTGGCAACTTTATGTTGTCATATTTTCAATGCACACAGACGTGAACAACAGTAATTGTCCATTGTCCACATGTTTTGTGATATCCGTTTCGTATAAAAAGTTATATGAAACCCACAAAATATCTGTTCAGGCATTCGTTTACTTCTGTTATATTCTGCCAGTTAAAAAATATAAAAATAAATCAAATGAATAGTAAAATGAAAAGAATACCAATAAATTAAAAAGTTAAAAAAAAACAACAACACTAATGAAAAAATCGAAGTGCAAACAACCTCGCATATCCTGGTACTAGAGGAACTTGTCAATATTGATCGCCGTCCGTTAGACAATCCTTTTTCTCTCTCCAAGTCCCTGGAAGCTCCGACGTTTTTGCTTTACTTACACGAGACGAATTTGTTTGAATTTAAACAATTTTTGGTACTCATAAACGTTTTCAGTTTTCTTTTCTTAAAAAAATATTTTATCTTTCACTCTGACCTTTGCCATGGCGAACGGTGCGACGGTCTGGGTCCGCGCTTGATTTTCTGATACCTTCAGTGGCGTAACGCTCGTGAGCTTTCGGGGCGCAGCCCGGACCCCCACTAAAAAGGTGCCCCGGTCCCTCCTACTGCTACCTAGAATTGACTGCCGAGCCTTAACAGTGGTGTATCGCATGTGCTTTCTGGGGCACAGTCCCAGTTCAATTTTACTATCGCTCTAATTACGACGCTTGGTACTTAATACGGTACATTTTCTTTTAATTTAAAAAAAAAATGTATGGCCCTGACCAGTTGCATCCTCTATAGGACTATTAATAAATATATGTAAAGACACCATCAATCGGGATCATAAAGAACGATTTTCATTTTATTCAGATTGGCTTTATCATGTTTCAGAGCAGCATAATTTGACACGTTATTAAAACAATCAATCAATTTGGTTACACATCCGTCTTTATATTAGTATTTTGAAGACTATTAGACGACCCGAAGGAAAAACTAACCCAGAAGTCGTCCTACAATTATTATGAGGAAAGTAAATTTTTGTCCTTTAAATATGTTTCCTATTGCTGTTTTTGTGATGTGGGTCCTTTATGTTGAAAAATGTTTAAATGTTGATTGTTTAGATTTTTCTGCTTGAACCCTTTACTTTTGTAAAATTCAACCCATTTTGAGTGATGCAATAAAGAATGATTTGATTTGATTTGAATCGGAGACCTAAAGATCCCTACGTTTCAGCGCACACAAAGGCTACACCACCAGTTTAGGCAACTGAGCTAAGCTGCTCTGCTCCCTGGCTATAAATATAAGTTAAGTTAAAAAAAGGTAAGACTTAAACAGCCTATAACATATACAGAAACTGAAACTCGGTAGTTGATTGCGTGAGGCTTTGACTTCTGAGGAATGGAAATAACTCACACTTTCGAATAGGGGAGCAATGCAGAAATATATAGAAAATAGAAATACAAACATAAGAAAGCATAAACCGAAAGGTCCACTGATTAATATCAGATAAGATAGTATAATACATACTCGAAGTATCAAAATGCACGCCATAGTATTGGAGTACTTATTATATATAATATCTTATCTAAGAAAGCATAGTGTTAAAAAATTAATTGTACTGAACATTAAAAAGTAACAGATCAAGAAAATGAGTTAGAGCATGTTCAAACCAAAAATAGGTACCATCCCAATATTTAATAATAGGCTCTATTATCTATTTTTTTCCTCCATGATTACAGTAACACTATTAAAATTCAGAGACGGACAACAATTTACTTCCGCCATAATATATTGTACAGTAAGCCTACGATTTCTGGACACTTTTTGTTCAGGTCATTTAATAGGCTTGAAAATATCAATATAAAGACGTTTGAGTAACAAAATTCATTGATTGTTTCTAATAAAGTGTCACTTTGATACCAAAAATGAAGTTGCTCTGAAACATAATAAGGTCAATTTGAATAAAATGACCATCGTCCTTTAAGGTCCAATTGATGACGTTACAGGCGTTTATCATCCGAATATCCGAATTATTAGTAGGCCTATAATGTACTGTATACATTATTTTAATCGATTTCAACATGCTGTGTATAATATTTAACAATAGGCCTACTATGATAGATAACCATGCGTTTTATTCTTTATTTATGACATGTTTAAAGTCGGAGGAGATTTTAAGGTGTGTAGTTATGCAGCCGTCCGGGGCTCATACATTTTTGAAAAAATTAAATGAAAATATTTTGTCAAAAACGTTGTATTATTAGATTGCTCGGTAGTAGTAAGTATGGGCCCACCTTTCCGGGACTAATTTGGACATGGAGGAAGTAATAATTTTTTCCCCAGAAAGCACACAGGCATTACATAACTGGTCAAACCTCCATAGTGGGGCATCCTGGGGAATAGTTGAAAGAACCCCTTCTAATAAATCTGCCAAATATTATGGGGTTTTTTCGGAAATTATAGAAAAGGTAACGCATTGTTAAGGCGTTGTAGCAGAGTGTTGAGTATCAGTGTTACTGTAAGTATAAGTGCTTCTCCAGTGCCCATTTGGACTCAGACTTCACCCAGAAAGCACATGCGTTACTTAAGTCTTGGTAGTAATGTGCTAGGTAGTTGTAGAGTTGCAGGAGCGACCCCCCCCCCCCCCCCCCACCCCGAGAGCTCACGAGTTACGCAAATGGGTCCTGTTTATTTTAATATGATATGCCATAATTGGATTTTATTGGACAATATATGAAACACTACACCGTTTCTGATATATGTAAACTGCAATACATTATTCAGCATTGGAAGAGCTTTCCAACGATACCAAACACGACTACTTTTGGCGAGTTTATATACTTATTCTTATTTTATGCACATTTCAAGTATATTTTACGGTTATTTTAAAACAAATAAACGCCTATTTGTTTATTGTTTGTTTGTTTTAAATTTGCTTCAAGTTACTGCTTTAATGCATTTATTTAAGTTTGCACACTCTGGGTGGTTCTATAAAGGAGGTATAAAAATAATACCTCATTGGTTCTATGCAAGCTCTACTCGGGAGGATTTTTGGCTTGTGGAGAGTGGAAAACAGCGCTTCGTAACTGCAAGGAAAAACGCTATACAAGTAACAAGGATTCTAACAATATTTAGATATCTCTATTTTCTGTAGTTTGATAATGTCCAAGCTCAAAGGCATCATGCATTTACACTCCCTACATGTGGTCTACTCAACACCTTATCACTGATTTGTTTGTTATGACATTATTATTTACAACCTCGATGATTCAATAATACTCACTCTGTTTTATGTGACGTATCCATTCAATCAGAAATCCAACTAAAATTTAAAATACCAACAACTATAATATTGATAATGTGCAAATGTTATTTTGTAGTCCTGGTTCTGCCCTGATTTTTTTTAGCATTTCTTACAAGTACAAAACAAACAAGGAAGTTCTGCAACTAGATTACGAAGCGTACGCTCATAGGAAATATAAGCGAAAGAGGAAGGACCTTTTGGCCTTGGGTCAGACAGGGTGACTAGTGATGATAATCAAATAATGCCGAGGCTGATGGGAAATTATGCTAAATTATGCCAAATGTTAAATTTCGAATAAGCGTCCCCACCCAAATGTTCAATTTCAAAATAAGTCCTCCCCTCCCCCACCCTGCATAGCTCCAAATGTTTAATTTTGAATAAGCCCCCAAATGTCTGACCGTCAGAGCCAATAAATTCGGGAACTTAGGTTTAACCTGGTTCAACTTTGCCGATTGCAATGCAGACGATTCACAGTCACGGTAGTGGCGTAGGAGGTGTGCTCTGGGTGCCTCAGCACCCTCCTTCAGCAGAGATTGAAAAAAAAAAGTTTCAAGTGTTAAAAAATAACTGAAATAAACTTTAAGTATTAAAGTGCCATTTTCCGGCATCTAGAAGTTCCACACATGTTCTAACCCCAGCTTCAACCACGATGGGGCTTAGGTGGATATATGTTGGGTTCTTTGGCGGGCTGAGGTGGATGGTACCGTAGTTTTCATAAATTTTAAGTATCCAAGTACTGTTTTCGGGCGTCTAGGCCTATACAATCTCGGATTCTTAAAAGTTACTCATCAGCGCCCCAAAACCATGGTTGGGCTTAAGTGGATGTCGTAGATTCTGTACTATTCAATGTTTTCGGGTAGCTATAAGTCTCAAATTCTTAAAATTTCCAACCATGGTGGTGCTCTGGTGGATATGATGGTTTTTGGAATTGTAAGTATGCCTATAATGCAATTTTTCGGGCACCTATTTAATTAATTCGTTGTTTGTTTGTTTGTTTTTTTTTTTTTTTTGCTTGTTTGTTTTTTTGTTTTTGCTTCTTTTTTTTTCTCATTGTGTCAAAAATAAAAAGAATTAAAATATATTTTAAGTCCCATTTTCGGGAATCCATAGGTAAAAAATACTGATTAAAATTTAAAAAAAATAAAGATAAAAAAAATTAGTCAAATTTCAAACTTTGCTGAGATAACTCAACTCACCGAATTCTGTAGGCTCTCCCTAATCTTACGATTTCGGTATAATCTTGATTCTTTCTTTCTTATTCTTATTGTTGCCACACCTCTACTTCAAGCTTTAAAACTTCTCAATATAAATGAATAACCTTTAACCTTTAATATATTCTGTCGTGGCCAATGATGTGTATCAAATTATGCCAAGGGCTAATGGGAAATGCTTCATTTATTTTTAATTTTAGTAAGGCGACAATTATTATTTATACCTTGTTTAGCGAACCGGCCGCCCGCCAATAATGATGATTTCGAATTAATTTTTTTTTTTTGTTTAATGGAAATTTCAGAAAATAATAAGATTTTTTATTACGCCCGCCACTAACTTAAATTGAAATATCCAAAAAAAGTTGAGTATATTTCTTCCTAATTTTATACATTTAAAGCATTTAAGCATCCCATTAATACATTGTTTACATTTTTTCCCGCCCTCTTCTGACGATCTTTAAACAAAATAAGTTTGCGAAACAAGGTGTAAACTAAATTTCGCCAGAGAACACATTTTATAATAACACTATGAGGCTAAAATTGCTTAAAAAATAAGAACAAAATAAGAAAAAATTGAGGCTGAGGTAATTTCAAACAGAAAAAAATAACAGCCGATCTCATCTGTACCTTATGTGCAATAGGTGTGACCATGTAATACCCTCTATAATGCAATGCAGTAATATTGTTGTACAATAATAATAATAAGGCCCTATCTATCTTTGAAAAAATGTTTAAAATAAAAAAAAAAAAAAGTACATTTTGAGCCTTAAAACTGCAAAAAATAAGAACACTGAGCCTGGGGAAAATTTTACTGGTTCTTTTTTAAAGAAAGTGTCTGCGATGTGTTAGATGTAGGGTCAGGCTCACAATAATCGTGCAAACCCGGTCGCCCATGTTTCACCAACTGTGAATGACAAAATATGATAATAATGTGGAAAGTGTTACCAAAATTCAAAAGACCATAATATATTAGAAAAGTGTTCCAAATTTCATGGAGTTAGGATAAATAACAGAGTTAGAACAATATTTATAGTCATGAGTATGCAAAATTCGTGTGTCGCCAGATAAAAAATACCGTTTTAGCAATCTGCCATTCAATAAATGCTGTGCACCACACAGGGCTTATAGTTACTGATTTGTAAGCTGGTTGGAAGCTTGTCAATTTGTACTATGAGTTTTTTTTAAATCGAGGTGGGTTTAGTATGGTTATGGTACAGTTTATCCGTGTCGCCAAATGCACGTATATGTTACATGATCATAATTGCAAGGAAAAACATATATTATTGCAGGAAAATTGTAAGGTAATAACTAATATTTGCTTAGTATAAGATGTTATGAATACTGTATTGTTTAATTCGGAAAAGTAGAAAAGTCATGCAAAATATGGTCTTAAACTTGAAATTTTGATTGCCGCTTTTAAGCGGTGAAAAATACGTTACCTGATTTCTTCATATACCAATTCAAGAATTTTAACCAAACTAGACGTGAGAAGTAGTTAAGTAATAAGCATGGATACAGCGTCAGTAAATCATCATGGTGTTAAGTAATCATGTTTAATTAGTAATTATAATTGAAAAGGGTAATTTACGTTACGTTTTGGAATATTAATCCATAGTAATGAAATATAGAGGGCATAGAACTATTATAAATGACTTTATTTACGCCGCCAACGACACATGAAAGTCTTAGAAAGAAAAAATGGCATTGAGCAATTGACACCCAAAACCTTGTGTTTACCAACTTTGTGTTTCCCTCGAATGTTGGTCCTACGCCCATCATTAAAGTGAAGCAATTTGGTAAGTATTTATTATAGGCTGCGCCTCGGCTATATTTAGTTAACAAAATAGTTGACATTTATAATTAAACGTTAAATTGAAAATTTCAGGCAATAGCTTAGGCCTAGTTGAAAGGAATACTACATTGTGAAAAGTAACGTATGTTAAACACACGGTACCGTATGTTATTGTTGATATAGCATGTAATAAACATCATTTAATAAAAACATGGGCAGTGGCTGATATATTTACTTTCTTTTAAATATATCCTAACATACATTGACTCTCTATAGGAACGCTATCATTCATGGAAATTATTCCTATTGCATATATTTCTGATTTATGTTGATGGTAACGTATATTACAGTAAAATATTAGGCCTATGTGTACATTATATCGCGAGTAAATTCATAAAAGCAAACGTTACACATTAACATTCTTTAACATCAAATAGATAAGATGACAACAAATATGTTTGCAAATAATCTTTGTAATGTTCTATTAGATGAGTAATCCTAGTAATGTAGGTTACAAAACTTTATCAAATTGAAAGAACGAATAAAACTAGGGGCTTAACCACATATCTTAAAAAAAGGACATACTATCAACTACTCCAATGATTTTTTTTTCTTAACCATACCTAAAATAAATAAAAACAAATAAAATGTTCTTGTTGTTGATTTTAGACAAAAATACTTTTTATAGTCATTTATGATAGTTTTGAAAAAATGTGCTCATTTTAAATGCGAGGTTATCATTTATTTTTAATAACATGTACTGTATATACCCACAATTAAGAAGAGAATATATAATTTTACTTTATTTTACAACGATAGACTTGATCTTGATGATCGGTGTTACATAATTATATGAAACTTACGTTACTAACATTTACATACAAAATGCGATTATCATTGGAACTGAGTGTATGTTTAACAAATTTATGTCATTTGTTACCAGAGCATCTCCGTATTGTTGTTAATTCGAAAGATATATGTTGTTTGTTTACTTTTAGTGAGCGAAAATGAAAAGTATCAACCGGATTAAAATATATTGTTATATTATTACAGCATCAATTATTCAAAACAATATAAATGTGCAATTATTTGGGTGTGGCACTTTTCCCCCACATGTTTTTTATTGGTCATCCTATGTATATAATGATATTTATATGTACATTTTACACTCAGTTATAGATAATTGTCTTACAACAACCTATTATTCAACATTGATTCAGTAACTTACGTTATCGCATATCAAATGTATTGATAATGTTAAAGGGTATGCTGTGAAAAACTATTTGAAGTTAAATGTTACGATTTTTAGGGAATTGTTCTTGACATATTAAAGTTCCGTTCTAAAGAAAACCCTAGTTTGTTAATTGAACTTTATTTTTCTTGATTTTTAAAGTCCAATTGCACGTTTATAGTGAGCCTGATCCGAAGGTTATTTGGGTGAGCGCCCCCACCTAAAACGAAGCAACACTATCCCCAATACTATTCTGCCCAGTGGTGCCGCCAGGATCGACAGGAAGTACGTCTGGTATTCCCTACCGGCCGAGATTGGTGGAGAAAGGTAAAGACTGATTTTCCCAACAGGAGAAAGTGGGCATTACAGAACTAAAATAATTATTTATAGCCGGGATCTGTAGGACTATGAACATAACATTTTTTTACAATAATGTACCGTATTGTGCTCTACTTATCCAGTGAAGGTCGTATATTTGAGTAGCACGGTGCACCAATTTTATATATAAAAAAAAAAAAACAATAAAAATATTAGCAACTATCCCTCAAAAATCCGAAATTGAAATCAAATATAAAAAAAGTCAAAAAAATATTACGGAAGAAATGTTTGTTATTTACCGCTAAAGCGCCTGCACAAATCTTGAAGAAATATCGTGGCTCAATCCTTTTAGGCATTTATCATTAGCATTATAATAATCAAATTCCTATTTATCTCAATTGAAATGTCATAAAATGATAACATTACTCAAAATATTGAACGAGGCCACTATAAAAGCAACATACGGCTGAATTCGATATGTAAATTGCATTAGAACGTCAATACATACAGTGCAAGCACACATTTACCACAGTGAGTCAACAGGTAAGTTGAACGCAATTTAAAAATTGGCTTTTAAAATAATTAAATATTTTCGAAGTAAAAAGTTTGTAAATCCTGTGAACAAATAAAATAACTGGTAAATACATGAAAATGACAGTCATATTCCTGTTGACAAGTTGTGTCCTCGGCCAGGCCATAATACGTCGTCAGCATATGTTTATATAATTCCAATTTTGTTTTCAAAGTCATGCGTAGTCCCATGTCTATTTCGGTATGGTTGCCAGTGCTTCTTTGTCTGACCATAGTTTTGGCAGAAGCTTCACCCAAACATTCTAAACGACGAGGTTTGTGGACTGCTGAAGATTTGTTTGAACCAAGAGTCAAGGTAAGAACAAACACCCTCACTCACACTCACTCTTTTACACCAAACCACGCCCCCGAGTGGGTTGCATAAACACACGCAACCCATCATAAATTAATACACTATGGCGAGGCATCATATGTATTTATGTATGGACAAAACTAATTTTGAATCTTGAAAGACAATTAGGTTAATCTTCATTTCTGAGCCGTGTCTAGTGCTAGTAAAGATCAATTTACAATAAGCCAAGACGACAGTAAAGGACTATTATAGGCCTGTACCTATACACCTACACGTACCACTAACTGTACGTGGAACTGCCACACGGATTAAGCAACTGGGCATTTGTTCAAGGTCAAATCGTAAAAAGAAACGACTCCTATAGAACGTAGATTAATAATAATAATTAAAAAAAATAATTAGTATGATAGTCTGCATGTAAATTATAGCAACAGTTATTGCAGACCTACATATACTTCGTTACACTGTCCCCGAAGCAAGCGGGAAGGCTCCCCGTCGGCGCAAACCGTGCGTCTGGGACAACACGAGTGTTGTTCTGATTGGTCAATTGTTAAGTTTGATTGACACTTCGGAAAGGTCCATTGTGTTCTGTTTGAATGACCGAAATAATATTGTAATGGGGTAAATGTGAAGTGCAGGACCGTGCCCAGCCAAAGGGGCCCGGGATCTAAGGGTCATGACCCTCTCAAATTCATCAAAATTTAAAAAATATATATATTCCGTAATAAGTTATGGGTAATGTGAAAAATTTAATATAGGAAATGTAAGCCTCCCTTTTGTTATTATGGTTTACAGAATAACTGAGTGACCTTGCCTGAGACCTGGTGCACACACCGTGTCATCCAATATTAAATATCAATAATTAAAGTTTTAAAAAAAACCATTTCGTTACAACCATGCCAACTCCCGTATTGAAAACACTGTAATTGATTATAGTATTATTTGGTTTAGTCAGTGAAGTGTGTAAATTAACTTTTAAAATATTGACTTAGCAACGTGGGAAAAATACAAAAAGAGCAAATGGAGAAAATTAATTTGAAAACTGTAAACTGTTTGATAATTAAACTTAATTACAGCATATCAAGTGTAAATAATTTTTTTTCAAAACCACCTCCTGTATATAAATACAAAATAATATCATGTTTGCTTGAAGTCAATGTTTAAAGATAATTAAAATAAGCCTACAGCTGTTTGTGCTTCCACACGTACGAGAGTGGTTTTAATTAAATCATGAAAACCGTTTATCTTGCAATAATGTAATATTGGTGTCACGGGAGGCCCTACTTAAAGTACATAAGGCAAAAAATATCCAGATCCAATCCCCTCAAAACGAGGGGCGGTAATCTGGCACCATGGAAAGAATTTCGTGTCCAGACGGCCGAATTCATTCTTGATAGCCTAAGGAAGACCGAAATAAGGGTGCCAAAAACTTGGACATTACCGTAGAAAATTATTCAGGATACCAAACATGACAACTATGGACGATTCAACATGCTGAATCCCAGAGACAGTGTTATTGCAGAATAAAGAAGGTGACTATATCTACATCGTGTCTAGAAAACTTTAATCATTGGCACGCTGAAATGCTCGCCAGTGCGGGAACAAAAATCGTGCAAGTGTCAGGTTGGCAGGGTGTATCTATGATTTTTTTCTGGGTAGGTCGGGATCATAATTTTTTGGACCTTTTTCAGTGCTTTAACATCTATGTCATTGTAAAACGGCCCTAGAAAATGTCTAGAAAAGTGTACGACCTT